CTTATCATAATTCGTACCGAAACAGCCTGTGTGTCGGTCACACCCCTGTCTGTCGGAGCAGTTACAGATTTGACGACATCCAAATCCAAAGAATCCAAACTTACAGGGCATTGTACAGTTTACTCCATGTCGTCCAATACAAGCTGATGATATAATTCAAATACATTTTACATCGTACTTAGTGGGTACTAATTAATGATTTCATGTAAGATAATTAGTGATTGTGTACCCTTTAATTGCTTGATTTTCCAAATCTAAAAGTGTCCAAAATCGACAAGTTTACATCCAGGTTTGGGTTGGGTGGAGGTGGGTGAGTCTCTGATGTAAGATATCATTTTTTGCCAATAGCCTATTATGTTTTTTTAAATTTATTTGCAAAATGCTGAGTAACAATTGCTTTCCATTGATTTTACTCAATAAAAACTTAAATGTACATTTCAGCTTATTGGTTTTGAGTTACTCAGAGATAAGAATTTAGATGTATGAATTACATGCACATTTCAAAAGTAATAGGCGAACGATTACATTTTATATTCGGATATAAAACAACTCACGCTTGCAGTCACCATTGATCAACTGAAAATCCACACAGCAACCCAATCTCATTTTCTTATTCACCCATCTGAAAACAAGGTTAAGAGATTATGCACAAGTGATCTTAAATGTTGTCTATCAACTTATAATTGCAGTGTGTAAAACTTTGATCGTAACGAAACAAAACTTACGAAACATTGCATACTCCAGAACTGTCGGGGTCTTTAGCTGTTGTAAACACAAACAAACCCCAAAATATAAAATGTAAAGACATTTTTATATAGCAGCTTGTGATTATGAAATTAAAAAAGGCATTTCCTGTTTGCAGTTTCGAGTCGACTTAGTATTGTGGCTAAATTATCATTTCCTTTTGTGTATGTAACTAAATGGTTCATATGCTGTTATTTTTATCCCTCCACAACCAGGCAAAAGTTACATGACCTCTAGAAAAAAAAGAAAGAGGGCGTATAAAGCGTGGACAATCCCCCTCTCTGAGACAAAATATTTCTCAATTTTCAAAATTCACAGAAAAGTTTTATTTTTCTAAAATCATGTTCTCAGTAATGTCATCTTCAAAACATTTTATCATTTTATTTTACTGAAGGATTCATTCTTTGATAATCTTCATTTCGAAGTTGACACTTAAGCATTTATAGTGGAAATTGGGTTTACTAGAGCTATAAAAAATGAATTTTGAACATGAATGGGTCAAGTCTCCATTCTTCATTAACGCTTAAATGATGGAAACGTAAATGTGAAATATATTTCAATTGTCCAAAAAATGGAATCTGAACCCATTCTATATGAAAATCGAAAATTTCTGAAAAAATGTGCGCTTCAACAAACCCATCCGTTTAAATTACATTGACAAACATCGATAATGCATATACTTCATAGCGTAGTAGTTAAAGCGGTCGGTATTGGACCAAACCCTGCGCTATGGAGAGAGTTCGAATCATACGTGAGGCTTTCTCTTTTTTGTGTTCACATATCTTAAAAACATGAGTGAAAAATAAATTATTAATACAATATTAAAAAAAATGAAATACAGAATTAAATGTGTAAAAGATGATATAAACAATATAATTTTGAAAAATATAACTTTTAGAATTGAGAAATGTCATTTCTCAGAGCGGGGGATTGTCCTCGCCTTGTACGCCTCAATTCTTTCTTGTAATTGATTTGTTTTGTCTCTGACACTTATCTTCGACAAATTAATAGTGAATCTTCCTTCTACGAATCATTTACAAAGCTATATAGGTTGCACTACAGAATTTAAATTTTACTATTTATTCTTACTATATACATGTACAACATTGAATAGGAGGTCTTAATCTAAAACAAGCGATTAAGATGTTTACTTTTGAGGTCTTCTAAAGCAATTCTTTATATTCAACATTCTCGTAACAAAAAAAAAAAACCTAGAGATACTGTGCTCACTTTGCTCACAAAATGATTTCCCCGCTTCCCATATGATTGTAACGGCAAAGTCCGTTTTGCCTCTGGGAGACCCGAAATAAGTGTCAGATCAAAGAGTAAAATAGGAGATGCATAATAGCAATATGTAACAAAGATTCTGTGAAAGTCTCATTGAATTTCATTCAATGGTATAATTAGAAGACTTGCATATAAGAGATGGGTTCCCCAAAGTGTAGCTGACGGACGGACAGACGGATGGTTGGGCGCACAGCATGACAGATATAGGTAGTTTTTAAGCTCATAAATATATTCAAACAATATAAATCGCAAAATAATGGAAAAAATCCATCGTCGATTTGGTGTATAAAAGATGGATATCAATTTGTATGAAAAAATGTCAGTCAGCATTTGACTCAATGATAAATTGTATTTGCAGACGAGGTCATTGTATCGACTATAGAACTTACGAAATTACGACTTTAAACGAGACTGCTGATATTCTTGTTTCATCAACATGTTTGTCAAAAATTTATCTCGTTTTAGAAATTGTTCATACGTAGAGCGTGCTCTTGCGTATCAAATCAACTGAGATATATAAACTCCATATGCAGGTAATGATAGTATATTGCTGCATAAGTAAAGGGAGTTGACGATAGAAAAGTTAAAGTCATCGCGTTTATCATATAGCTTGCATGTTAGATTACCATTAACGTCGTTTTCAAATAAAATATCCAAATATTTAACAGATGCGTCAGCAACACACCAGGATATATAGTATCGACATACGAATGGAAATTACTATTAATTGACAATACATCGTAGATATATCGAGTTGAAGGCCACAGCAAGTGTTTTCTTCTTTTCATGCACAAGATTTTGCATAAATTCTGCTTAATTTTCATACAAAATTAGGTATGCTAATAACGAGTCGCAATTGGTACCCATGAAAATTCCAACAGGTTGTTGGAAGACCTGGTCACCAAAAAAGAACATAGATATTGTCAATCAGAAACTCAAGCATCTTTTTGATGCTGACTTCAAAGTACTTGTGTGTACAATCACAAGGAAAAAGCATACAAATCATTAGTAAGACCAAATGCCAGTATGCCAGTGTGGCCTGGAATCACCACCAAAAGTCAGACATCAATAAAATTGAAATAATTAAGCGCAGAGCAGCCAGGTATTTCCAAAAATAAATATCATAGCACTTCATTTGAAACCGTGATGCATAACAGGCTTGAATGACCATTTTTTTAAGAGCAGCGAAGAACAGCCAGCTTCACTGTAGAGCACTTGTAAGCTAGTTATTAACAAAGTTCAGATTGACTCTAGCCAGGAACTTAAAATACTGCCCACCTCTACCATGATGGATAAGAGCCTTGTCTGCTTCAAAGCTCGTCTCCATTAATAAGTCTCTAGCTTAAGTGATCTTTTTAAAACTTACCTGTAAACAGACTCTCAAAATTTTATTTCTTAACATGTGCACACCCGGTTGCTTAATATTGATATTGCTCAACATTTTGACGGTGGCCGCTAACTGGAAGAAGTAATAGTAGAATTAACTGCAGAGAAACAAACCCCATACGCAGGTGATAAGGGTATATTGCTGCATAGGGAAGGGAAATTATCGTTTGAAAAGATTAAGTCATTTAAACATGTAATTTATTTTGTCATCAACGTGCAAAGTCATTTAAAATACAACAAAAATTTAAATTCTATTTTTAAATTTAAAAAAGTGTATTCAGAAAAGCTAAAACAACGAAGGTGATTTAAGAGTCTCTGAGTTTTGCATACTGGTGTTGTACTCTGGTCCTGCTTTCCTTTAGTTGTTGATAATCTGGAATTTCAGTGTACCCGCTTTCTTGTGCTGTGTCATCCGTCGTCTCGTCTTGATTAGTCCGTCTCTGTTTCTTAACAGGGCTACTCGATGACTTCATCGTCTTGTCTTTGAGAGAAATAGGAGTAAGGTATTGCCCTTGAATTGATTGAGCTTCATCACTCGTCATCTCATCCCTAACGTTGTTCCGGTTTGTGGTGTATTTCTTCTCTATAAGAAATCGTAAAAATGAAAAAAATAGCATGCATTAAAACAGGAGATAGTAATATAACTGAGGATTTTAAACAAATTACCATAATGCAATTTGAACCTCCTGGTAAGAGCACCTGCCACAGACAAACAAATGATTCCAAATAAAACTCCTACAGCCCCTAGGATCTCTCCGCTGTAAGACTTTGTTCTCTTGTCAACTGCGATATCTAAAGAATCAAGGAATAAAAGTAAACATTTGATTAAACTGACCTTTTCATTGAATCGAAAAAAAAACATTTTGCTTCCACTTAAACAAGAATAGGTCCCAGAAAGTCGATTGTCCTTTGCTGCAGGATTTGCTCAAGATAATTTATACATTCGAAATTTATATAAAGGTAATTATACAATATAAAGGCGACCTATTTATATAAAGGTAATCATGCAATATAAAGGATACCTATTTATATAAAGGTAATCATGAAATATAAAGGAGACCTATTTCCAAAAATGTCATTGTGTGAGACATATGAAATTTTGATATTCCATTTATTGTTACTTACTTAATTATACTTGGTAATAAAAAGAATACTTATATATGTTAATTTGTATGTTGCAGCAACAACTTTTGATTTTGGGGCAGATTAATGTAACACAAAATGAGTTATCGTACTTAAAGATATGTATGCCGTGTTAAACAGTAATTTTGCACAGCTGAAACCAAACAAAAATTTCTGAAGTATGATAACCTATCAAAAATGAAGCATTCTTGCAAATTCGACGAAATATTATTCGGTATTAACAAAGTACTGGTCGGGAAAAGAACACGATGTTCTCATGCATATTTATAAAGGACTGACGTTTATGCTCGATCTGCGCATGTGCGCGGGAAAAAGCATCGCGAGAATCATCAGGTCGAGGAAAATATTTTTTGTGACGTCTGTTCAGTGAGTAACCAACATGACTGACAAATCGACCAATCAGCTCAATGAGTTGCATTTAATGCATTTATGGGTTACTATATAAAATACTACATGTGTTTTTTGAAAAGGCTAGGTTTTTAAATCTCTCTCGGAAAGATGTGATGCATTTTCCCAGACATTTACACGCTTAATGCATTATGTACATTATTTATTATCTACTAATTCCATGCTCACATTTGCATACAAATGATTAACAATGATAAAAACTTGAGTTTTCCCACATCATTGTACAGTTTACAGTTTCCCCGTGCTGTACTGACAGCGAAAAGACAATTTCACGCATGATTATTCCTCGGTACAAAAAGCGATCAACTCTGAGGTGTGTTCACGTATTTACAATGTTTACAACGTGTACAACTTCGAAACACACAGTATGCTACTCAATACACGATCTACGATCAATGCACATGAGAATTAATTTAGAGCTAATTTATAAAAAACCTGAAACATAAGTCTTTTTTTTTTTTTTTTTTTATAAATGCATAAACTTTAAATTTCTACATGTAGTAATAACTGAGCAACAATTAATTCAACCAGTTACATGTAATTTTCCTAACCCACGTGTTTGTAGTAAAAACGTAGTAGACCATCATACTTTTCGGCTCATTCAGGAGATTGGACCATTGTTTGCTGTGAGCATGTGAGACCACGTGATCATGAATATTTCAATAAGAGGCGGTTTAATATCCGACTCGGAGAGAAAATAATTTTTACCAAATTATATTTCATAACTTTTAAAAGGGATGGAGTGGAATTGTCTTTTTTGCAGAAAGTATATAACTTAATATATTACTTGATGAGACACCACGTATTTATTTCTTAAAAAAATAAAACACTAATACGGCATATATAATTATCTTTAAACAATTTATAATCTACATTTTAGATCATCAGTAGACATATTTTAAAAATGATAGCAAATTAACTGGAATTCTTTCAGCACAAAGAAATTTCGCGACCACAATGCAAGTGTTACTACATATTCCCTTCTGTAACATTTTGATATTTGTTGAACAAGCGGCAATAACAAACTTTCACTCATATAGAACTGTTCTTTCCAAAAAAGATTTATGTTTTTGGCAAAGAAAAAGGTACCGTTTCAATAGAAATATGAACTTGTATTTTTTCTAAATGATGGAAGTGATGAAAGTAATTAAATTTCATCCTTTCTGAATCTGGTGCATTTTCACACATTTTCATAAAAAGTTGCAGATGACATCAATTTTCAGTGGAATTTCCTTTTATTAATTAATCATACTAGTATACAGCACATGCATTGCATACAAATATTTTGAAAAAAAAATGATTTTCCAAAGCATGTTAGACAACATATCTAAAAGTTAAAGTGGGCAACGGTTGTTGACACTTTTTTCTAAAGAGAAATAACCACTTAAATGAATAAGTTTAAGGCTTTCCTGGGTAAAATTAAGAGAATTACCAGAATGACGTTATATTTCCAGAATGGTCCTCTTGCATGCCATATTCTTTCATGATTCATCACATTCATGTATTCATTCATATTTAAGACAATTTCATATCTTGATGAGAACATTAAGTTTTAAGGGAACAAAACAATAAAGCTCAGACCGTTCTTTCTTCTTGTCAGACCATCTCTATCTTATGATACATGCAAAGATACCTAGCTGATAACGTAATAAGATAATCTTTATATTGCTTGTTTGTATTTTGGCGCAGAAGTGACACAGTAAAAAAATTACGAGTTTCATATTTATTGAAAAAGCAGCTGTTATATTTCCTGTTAATGATGTCAAACTACTGGACTTCCATTTATTGTGTAAATGTTTGTAAAATTTGTTCGTTTTGATGTTGTTAATTTTTGTAAGGTTTTGTGATTTCAAATTTTCTAAATGTTCCCTTGAGCTTTTAAGAAGTTATTTGCCACAGTTTCTAATATGTTGTTTTACAGTACTCTTGAAGTTTATCATTCACTTTTGCAAATATATTAGTGAGAAGTAAGGAAATAGGCTAAATGGAACCCGCTGTGTATCGTAATGTTCGTAATGATTTTTATGTAATTTAAGAATCCAGCATAGCTAGGTATGGTAATTCAGATTCAATTAAATTGCTGAAAATATAACAAAAAAGACTTAAACTGACATATGATTTTGAATAATTTCCTCCTTAGAAAGGGAATTACGACTCTAAGTTGGATTGCCACTTAAAGACTACACTCCAAGTTCCTCTAGAGTCATTCTGTCCGAATTTTCTGTGGCAGAGAGCTACAGTTCTGCAGCTATATTGTTTGTAGATCAATCGTGAGCGTGTTTTATCTTCACCTTTTTATTTCAACATAACCATAACCATTACTCTAGAGGTTTTAGAACACAACCTACTGATTGTTTAAAAGTGTCATATAACAATCATTTAAATTACGAACATTCAATAATTCTCATTTAGAAAATGTATTTTAATAGTGCAGTAAGACAACGTTTAACAACATTTTCAACAATGACAATTAACTCTCAGATCTACTTTTATTTTATTAATAAGTACAACCCCCCCACCCCCCCCCCCCCAAAAATAGAGATGACAACACAATTGTGCAAAAACAGCAACGCCATAGAATGAAATTCTCTTTTTCTCTTTGTTCTCTATACGTGATGCTTAATGCAATATTTAGAAAGGTTTACTTTCAATTTGAACTGAAATAAAATGAATACTTTTTTCTCATACTCAGTTTGTGTGAATTTCTTTTGAATAACATTAAAAAAAAAACTTATTGTCTGAGGCTTGGGCGGAGTTGAATAGTAAAACAAATCATTTACAGTATATTTGTTACGTGAAAATCAGTTTTATTTATGAAAAATTAATTCAGCCAATTAAAGAATTGAAAAAGAGGAAAATGATTCATCTTTTCACAAATCGTACCAAAACAGCCAGTGTGTCGGTCACACCCCTGTCTGTCGGAGCAGTTACAGAGTTGACGGCATCCAAATCCAAAGAATCCAATCTTACAAGGTAAGGAACAGTTAGGTCCGTGTCGTCCAACACAAGCTGATAATAATATTCAAATATATTTTACATTGTAATAAGTGATTGTGTACCCTTTGATTGCTTTAATTTCCCAATCTAAATGTGTAAAAACTAGGAATGTTTATTTCGAGGTTTGGGTGGGGTGGGGTGAGGGAGTCCAGCTCTGATATAAGAAATCGTTTTTTGCCAATAGTATTTAATATTTATTTCCAGAATGCTGTGTAATAAATTGCTTTCTATAGATTTTACTTAATAAAAACTTAAATTAACAGGTTCAGCTTATGTTTTGAGTTACTTAGACATAAGAATTAAGTTCTTTGGATTACATATTTTTTAAAAACTAATTGTCGAATGATTCCGTTTTATATTCCAATATAAAACAACTCACGCTTGCAGTTACCGTCGACTGACTGAAAATCCAAACAGCAACCCAATCTCATTTGGTTATTCGCCCATCTGAAAGCAAAATAAAGAAATATGCACAAATTGAATAGAATATTGTTCATTAAATTATGATTTCAGAGTATAAAACTTTGATTACTAGTATAACGAAACAAAACTTACGAAACATTGCATACTCCAGAACTGTCTTGGTCTTTAGCAGTCGTAAACACAAATAAACCCCAAAATATCAAAATATAACATGCAAAGACATATTTTATATTAGCAGCTTGTGATTATCAAATTAAAAAAGGCATTTCCTGTCTGCAGTCTCGAGTCGACTTAATATTGTGGCTATTATCATTTCCTTTTGTTTATGTAACTAAATGGTTCATATGCTGTTATTTTTACCACTCCATAGTCAGGCAAAAGTTACATGACCTCTAGAAAAAATATTCTTGTAATTGATTTGTTTCGTCTCTGATACTTATCTTTGACAAATTAAAAGTGACTCTTCCCTCTAAGAATCATTTCAAAAACTATATAGGTTGACTACAGAATTAAATTTTTACTATTTATTCTTACTATATAAATGCACAACATTGAAAGGATCTCATAATTTCAACAAACGATTAAGATGTTTCCTTTTGAGGTCTTTTAAAGCAATTCTTTATAAACATTCTTGTAACAAAAAACCCTAGAGATACTGTGCTCACTTTACTCATAAAATGACACCCCTGCTTTCCTTATGATTATAACGGCAAAGTCCATGTTTTGCCTCTGGGAGACTCGAAATAAGTGTCGGATCAAAGAGTAAAATAGGAGGTGCATAATGGCAATATCCAGTAAGATAGAAAAGTTTGCTTTGGTAGAAGTAGCATAAATGCTTGATATGAAATATGAAAATAACGAACAGTATTTAAGCTCATAAGTATATTCAAACAATATAAATCAGGAAGTAACGGGAAAAATCCGTCGTCATTTCAGTGTATCAAAAATGGACTAACAATTGGTATGAAAAATGTTATTCAGCATTTGATTCAATGATAAATTGTATTTGCTGACGAGGTCATTGTATCGACCAAAGAACTTACGAAATGAAGACTTTAAACGAGACTGCTGATATTCTTGTTTCATCATTTTGTTTGTCAATAATTTACTTAATGCAAGTAGAGCATACTCTTGCGTATCGAATCAACTGAAATACTAGCATATAAATTCCGTATGAAAGTGATGAAGGTATATTGCTACAATATCTATGTTCTTTTTGGTGACCAGGTCTTCCAACAATCTATTGGAATTCCCATGGGTACAAATTGAAATTATTATTAAAACGAAGTTATTTTGATAAAAAAGTGAATAGACAGAGATTTGAATAAATATTTATGCATTAAAATGCTTAGATCCATGACATGTCCGTAAAACTGTGAACAGATTATGTCTAAAAGACTTGGGATTGTGATTTACTGGTTAGTTTTATATTTTAGTTAATTTAAGTGGTAGGGCCTCCCTTTGAGTGAAAAATTCTCGAGAAAGACGTTAAACAGCAAGCAAACAAACAAACCTGAGTATTCGTGAGATAGAGATAAAATAGCAAATTAATATATCAAAATTTATTCTAGGAAATTGCATATATTGTATTGAACAACATGTCTTGTTATGGGCTCGAAATAAAATTAAGGAATGTATTTACTACAAATATTAAAAAATGCTCATCTTTATCTTTAAAAAAAATTTTAAAAGAAAAAATCCCAGTTTTTTTCCAAAGGTCCATCCGGTAGAGGAGTGGTTTATAAAGTGCTCGAAAGAATACTGAAGAATGATTTCAAACAATACCTCGTGAGTGTGATTTTAGTAACCTGTGTTATTATTTTGATAGAATTTAAATTCTATTTTTATATATAACAAAGTGTATCCAGAAAAGCTAAAACAACAAAGGTGATTTAGGAGTCTCTGAGTTTTGCATACTGATGTTCTATTCTGGCCCTGCTTTCCTTTAGTTGTTGATAATCTGGAATTTCCGTGTACCCGCTCTCTTGTGCTGTTTCATCCGTCGTCTCTTCTTGGTTAGTCCGTCTCTGTTTCTTAACAGGATTACTTGATGATGCCATCGTCTTGTCTTTGAGAGAAATAGGAGTAAGGTATTGCCCTTGAATTGATTGAGCTTCCATACTCGTTATCTCAACCCTAACGTTGTTCCGGTTTATGGTGTATTTCTTCTCTATAAGAAATCGTAAAAATGAAAAATAGCATTCGTTAAAACAGGAGATAGTAATATAACTGAGGATTTTAAACAAATTACCATAATGCAATTTGAACCTCCTGGTAAGAGCACTTGCCACAGACAAACAAATGATTCCAAATAAAACTCCTACAGCCCCTAGGATCTCTCCGCTGTAAGACCTTGTGCTCTTGTCAACAGCGATATCTAAAGAATCAAGGAATAAAAGTAAACATTTGATCAAACTGAACTTTTCATTGAATCGAAAGGAATTTTTTGGGGGGTCCATGTTTGCTGTGCTTTTATTTTGTACTGTTTTATGGACTTTGAGATTGAATACTGTTCGTTATCTTCATATCCTTCCTTGCTTCCACATAGACAAGGGTAGGTCCCAGAAAGTCGTTTGTCCCTTGCTGCAGGATTAGTTGGAGATCATTTATGCATTTGAAATTTATATAAAGGTAATCATACAATATAAAGGAGACCTATTTCCAAAAAACGACATTTTGTGAGACATATGAAAATTTAATATTCCATTTATTGATACTAACTTATACTTGGTAATAAAAGTATACTTGTATATGTTAATTTGCATGTTGCAGCAAAAACTTTTGATTTTGGGACAGCATTGATTTAACATAAAATGAGCTATTATAGTTAAACAATTTATAATCTATATTTAAGAACATCAGTAGACATATTTTAAAAATGACAGCAAAATTACTGGAATTCGTTCAGCACAAATAAATTTCGCGACCACAATGCAAGTGTAACTACATATTCCCTTCAGTACCTTTTTGATATTTGATGAACAAGCGGAAATAACAAACTTTTATTCATATAAAACTGTTGTTTCCAAAAGAAGAAATATATATTTGGCAAAGAAAAAGGTACCGTTTGACTTTCAATAAAAATATGGACTTGTATCTTTTCTAAATTATGGAAGTGATGAAAGTAATTAAATTTCATCCTTTCTGAATCTGGGGCATTTTCACATATTTCATAAAAAGTTGCAGATGACATCGATTTTCAGTGGAATTTCCTTTTATTAATAAATAGTACTAGTATACAGTACATGCATTTCAGACAAAGATTTTGAAAAAAAAGTGATTTTCCAAACCATGTTTCACAACATATCTATCGATTTTCAGTGGAATTTCCTTTTATTAATAAATAATACTAGTATACAGTACATTCATTTCAGACAAAGATTTTGAAAAAAAAGTGATTTTCCAAACCATATTTCACAACATATCTAAAAGTTAAAGACGGCAAAGGCTGTTGACACTTTTTTCTAAAGTGAAATAACCACTTAAATGAATTATTTTAAGGCTTTTTCTGTTTAAAATTAAGAGAATTACCAAATTAATGATGTCATATTCCCAGAACAATCCTCTTGCATGCCATATTCTTTCATGATTCATCACAGACATTTACAGATATACTCAATTCATATTTAAGACAATTTCATATCTTTTTGAGAACATTAAGTTTTAAGGGAACAAATCGATAAAGCTCAAACCATACTTTCTCCTTGTCAGACCTCTCCGTTTTATGATACATGCAAAGATACCTTGCTGATAACGTAATAAAATAATCTTCATATTGCTTGTTTGTATTTTGGTGCAAAAGTGACACAGTAAAAATAATTTACGAGTTTCATATCTATTGAAAAAGAAGCTGATATGTTTCCTGTTAATGACGTCATAAAACCTGGACATTCATTTATCGTGTAAATGGTTGAAATGTGTTGAACATTTGTTCGTTTTGATGTTAATTTTTGTAAAATTTTGTGTTTTCAAATTTTCTAAATGTTCCTTTGAGCTTTTAAGAAGTTATTTGCCCCAGTTTCTAAGATGTTGTTTTACAGTACTCTTGAAGTTTTTCCTTCACTGCTGCAAATATATTAGTGAGAAGTAAGGAAATAGGCTCAACCGGGCGGGAACCCGCTCAGTATCTTTGAAAGGATTTTTTGTAATTTAAGAATCCAGCATAGGTATGGTTATTCAGATTCAATTTGATTGCTGAAAATATAAAAAAAAAAGACATATGAATTTGAATAATTTCCTCCTTAGAAAGGGAACTATGACTCTAAGTTGGATTGCCACTTAAAGACTACACTCCAAGTTCCTCTAAAATGCAATTAGATAATCGATTAAAATGCAGTGATCATACATTCCAGGACAAAATTGTCATATCTCATGGTTTATGTGCATTTTAAAAGCATTCTGTCCGAATTTTCTCAAGCAAAGAGCTACAGTTCTGCAGCTATATTGTTTGTAGATGTTTAAAAGATGAGTGTGTTTTATCTTTACCTTTTTATTCCAACATAACCATAATCATTACATTAGAGGTTTTAGAACACAGCCTACCGATTTGGTATAAAAGTGTTATTTAACAATCATTTAAACTACATACATTCAATAACTCTCATCTAAGAAATGTATTTTTATGGTGTAGTAAGACAACATTTAACAACATTTTTGACATTGAAAATTAGCTCTTAGACTTACTTTTTATTAATAAGTACAAAGACTCTTCCCCAAAATAGAGATGACAACACAATTGTAACAAAAACAGCAACACCATACAATGTTATGATGTTTTTCTCTTTGTGCTATATGCGTGATGCTCAATGCAATATGTAGAAAGATTTACTTTCAATTTGAACTGAAATAAAATAAATACTTTTTTCTCTTACTCACTTTGTGTGAATGTCTTTGATGAAATAACATTTTTAAAAAACTTACTGTCTGAGGCTTGGGCGGGGTTGAATAATAAAACAAATCATTTACAATATATTTGTTACTTGAAAATCAGTTTTATTTATGAAAAATTAATTCAGCCAATTAAAGAATTGAAGAAAAGGAAAATGATTCATTGGATCATAAATCGTACCAAAACAGCCTGTGTGTCGGTCACACCCCTGTCTGTCGGAGCAGTTACAGATTTGACGGCATCCAAATCCAAAGAATCCAAAATCACAGGGTATTCCACAGTTTACTCCATGTCGTCCAATACAAGCTGATAATACAATTCAAATACATTTTACATTGTAATAAGTCATTGTTTACCCTTTGATTGCTTGGATTTCTCAATCTAAATGTGTAAAAACTCGAAAAGTTTACTTCGAGGTTATGGTGGGGTGGGGTTGGGGGAGTCTCTGATGTAAGAAATCATTTTTTGCCAAGAGTATTTTTTTTTTTTAATTTATTTGCAAAATGCTGTGTAACAATTGCTTTCCATTGATTTTATTCAATAAAAACTTTTAAAAATGTACATGTTCAGCTTATAAGTTTTGAGTTACTTACAGATAAGAATTTAGATCTATGGATTACACGCACTTATTATTTCAAAAGTAATAGGCGAACGATTCCATTTTATATTCGAATATAAAACAACTCACGCTTGCAGTCACTGTTGACTAACTGAAAATCCACACAGCAACCCAATCTCATTTTCTTATTCACCCATCTGAAAACAAGGTTAAGAGATTATACTCAAGTGATCTTAAATGTTGTGTATTAAATTAAACCTTGATCGTAACGAATTCGAAAAAAAAACTTACGAAACATTGCATACTCCAGAACTGTCGAGGTCTTTAGCAGTCGTAACCACAAACAAACCCCAAAATATAACAAATAAAGACATTTTTATATAGCAGCTTGTGATTATCAAATTAAAAAAGTCATTTCCTGTTTGAAGTTTAGAGTCAAACATTCAGTTCTGGAGCTGTCATTATTTCCTTTTGTGTATGTAACTTAATGGTTCATATGTTTTGATTTTAACACTCCACAATCAAGTACAAGTTACCTTAAAAAAATAACTTTTTTCTAGCAATTGTTTTGCAACAGATACTTATCTCTGAAATAATAGCAACCCTTTCCTCATTTACAAAAACTCTATATATGTTACACTGGAGTATAATTTTTTTAAACTCTTAGTTCTTATCACATATGCACATAGCTGCAGATCTGTAGCGTTATGGCTTTATATATTTGTCTTTGACCATAACGCTACAGATCCCGTAGTGCAAAAATGTGCAATTTACGGCGCAATATTTTTTGCGCTCTTTTGGGGAGAATTTCTCCACTTTCTAGCTTTGGTCAATCGACTACCTTTCACTCCCTAATTCTAGACACATTCTGTAGCCAATATGTATAGTTTATCCACCTCCCAACCATTATAGTTGTCTCTACAGGCAATAATCTCGCTGGATATGAATTTTCAGTAATCTAACAAATAATTTTAATAAAGCGAGTTTATCACTTGTAGAGACGACTATAAAGGGTTGGGAGATGGATAAAATATACAGATTAATTAAATAATGTGTCTAGAATTAGGGATTGAGGGGTAGTTGATTGAACGATGCTGGAAAGTGTAGAAATTCTCCCCAAAAGAGCGCAAAAAATATTGTGCCGTAAATTGCACCTTTTTTGCACTACGGGATCTGTAGCGTTATGATCAAAGACAAATATATAAAGCCATAACGCTACAGATCTGCAGCTAATATGCACAATACTGAAAAGGAGGTCTTAATTCAAAACAAACGATTATGACGGCTCATTTTCATGTCTTGTAAAGCACCTTTATAAAAAACCTCTATTAACAAAAGATATACTGTATATATTATAATTATATAGAATTAAAAAAAAAACAAAGAAAAAACACATGTAGATATCCAGCATCAAAGTCGTTGAGTATAGGCTTTTTCTTATTTATACAGAATATTCCGCTATCATCAGCATTTGAAGATAAGTCTCCCTACTAATTCGATATTCAAGAGTATGCATGCTTAGACCAAGATCAGTTTTCAAAACGAGGCAGGCTACGGACAGATAAGTTGATGACATAATGAATTTCAACAATTCGTATTAAGACAACACTTCGTAAATTCTATGGTCGTAATCACAGGCAATTGTTTCGGAATTCTTTTTAACCCATAGTATAATAATAACATGTGTTATAGTTATTCTATATAGGTTAAAAATTTATTTCCGAAACAAGTGTCTGTGGTATTCAATCTCAAAAGTAAGAAGCAAACACGCTGACCCTGAGGTGGGGTCAGGAGCCATGGAGGAGTAGGCATCCCCTGCCGACCGATCAGACCCGCCATGTCCTGATGGAAACCGAGAAAAAAAATCCGTAGATATAAAGTAAATTATGCATGACCTAACAGTTAGTATGAAAAACGTCCGCGTCAGCATTTGACTCATTGATATAAGCTAGGTTAATTGGATTTGCTGACGTTTTCATTGTATTAACCAATGATGACTTTAAACGAGAAAACGAGACTGTTTATCTTTATTTAATTAATAGTATAGGAGATGTATACCCTGTGCGATACGAGCAATGTCAAAAGGACGGACCCTCCCAAAATTTTTTTTTGTTTTTGACCGCAGTAGTTCAAATTCTTGTTTCGGAAATAAATTTTCAACCTATAGTATACTTTGGGTTAAAAATTTATTTCCGAAACAAGTGCCTGTGTTGAATACTTTTATCTTCAGATTTTTCGTAAAGGTTTTTCGTCCTACCACTGAACTGTTACGTAATATTTATTTTAACATTTGACAAGACATTTTAAAAATCAGCTAAAAATCAACGGAAATGCATTAAATATAAAATTCTACATTTAATATATCTGAAAAAAGGAATATATCGCACTCTTAGCATGCTGAGGACAAACATCCTAAATCCGATATGCATCTTCTAATATTGATAGAAAACGGCAAGCTTTAAATTTTTTTGTCCCTTAGGGGTTTCCTTATTATTATTTTGTTGATATTTAAAACGAAAGTAAAACCTTAGCTTTTTTCATGGAACAGGGCAGGGATAAAGAGGTCATTTATGAGAAGTAAAACAACGATAGGTGTCAGCAGATAGAGGAAGAGGTAGGTCGGCTGTTTAAATGATGATCAAAGTTAGGGTGATATTAATTAATGAAAGTGAATACAACCTGTAAATGACAAATCATACAGTCAAAACGGACGTAAATTTCACTCATAAATGTCTAACTCGGTTGACAAGATTTTAACTGTTTTAGAAATTTAAACACGATGCGTAACTTACCTCTATACAGGTTGGGAACACTTATCCTTTAGCGAGATCACCCCTCTTTAGCGGGAGAATAAACATTACCATAAACAGGAATTTTGTTTAAAAAATAATGAAAAATCTCGAGAGAAAGCTGCATTGAAACGTGAATTTACTACAAAAAACTGATAATATGGGCTTGAAATTTTTAAAAGACAATCACTGCTGCGTGTGAGAATAAGAGGCTGATATCCACGTGTAAATTGTGCCTTTTTAGCGAAAGTTTTAAAATTTACAGTCATATATATTTTTGAAGCATATTTGGCATATAAAATATGTATAGATATCCAAATAATATTTGTTAGGGTTTTAGCTTTCCATTCTTGTACAAAAATTAAAAATGATGTCCTTCAGAAACCCATATTTTGGTCTTTGGTGGACACTAAGTAGTACGGAAGCGCAACAGGGTTTGTAACATTTGCTGAAAAGTCATGATTAAAAAAAAAAACAAGTATATCTTGACGGTGTGTTCCCTGAACGTCTACTCCCTATATAAACAGTATAATTATCACATTCAATTAAGGGGCCCCTCTATGGGGCACAGGTAACCTTTACCTGTGAAAAATTGTATGAACAAACTTCCTGCATTTATAAGCCTGTGTCAAAAACTTAGATAGGGAAAATCTTGGCATTAAGTCCTATTAAATGTTATTCAAAATTTTAAATATTTTTTACTCAAATTTCAAAGTATTTAGTAGGTATTTCAGTCAATTTATGTTAATCAAGGTTTCAAAAATCTTATCCATAATTCCTATAAAGTATAAAATGAATTAAAAGTTATTCAAATTTTAGAATATTTTTTTTACTCAAATTTTCAAAGTATTCATTTTAATTTTATAGTAAAAAATACCTTCATTTTAAATTTAAAAAAAAGTTTATTTTATTGTGCTTATTAATCTTTAATTCTATTCATTTTTAATCAAAATGTTTCAAAGCAGCAAATGTTAATATTTTAACAATGTAACTGCAATTAACATATTTAAACAGATAAAGAAAATCTTTCATGTTTCATTTAGATATATTCTTTTTAATTTTTTTTTCAATACATTCGTTGGATTCAGTTATTTTTTTTATGAAATATACTGAAATAAAAATTCTTTAAATATAGTTATTTCATCAAATAAATTGTGGTTTGGTACGTTTTCTTTATCAGAAAAATAAATATATTTGATTTAGACTTTTAAATCAAGATAACACAGGTAAACTCTCTACCTGTGCCTCTCAGAGGGCCTCTTAATTGAGTGTGATAATTACTTAAACAATGAAATGCTTTCTTTGTTTGTTATTACTGGAATTAACGGAAGCAGCTGGCGTAAATTTATGGCAAGTCATCAGAAAAATAATGTAAATATAATAAATGAATTGAATTTTTGAAGATTCCTGAGGTATATGAACTACAATGCTTCACACCGGCATATCTATCATGAAGCGCTATCGCGCTTCATGAAATATGCCGGCGTGAAGCGTCGTAGTTCATAACCTCAGGAATCTTCAAAAATTCAATTCATTTCATAAATAAATCCCGGTTTTCCGAGATGTATTTTTCTCGCTAGAAAGGGATAACCGCGCTTTAAAATAGCGAGATGATATGACTATAGGGGAATTGTTCCAAACTTGTTATTTGCCACGAATGGAGCTATGTTTATCATAAATTACTAGAACTGTAAAACAGCGAATAAGAGCTAGAATGCCACATGAAAGATGATGATGTAATTCAAGTATTAGAGAATACTACTAACTAGCATGGTGTATGTGTTGATTAGAGCAGCTTCAGCTCTTGTAGTGTGAAAAGGAAGAATAAGTAAACGTACATTGAAAATTCACAAAATGCATATATTGAAAACATATGGCTGGACCGGGAATCGAACCCGGGACCCCTGTATTAATACTAGTCAGCTGCTCTTACCACTGAATATGAAAATTATGTATTTTGTAAATGGAGTATATAGTAAATATTAAAGTTACGATGGTAAACCGTTATCAAAGACCACTAATTACTAGAAAAACAATAAAAAAAAATTTATTAGGAAACAATTGCACTTCATAACATTAAGATAATTTTAGTTTTTATAAATGTCTTCATTTTGAAGTTAATGAAATATTTATTCAATTTTTCATCTCATATATTATCTTAATATTTAACATATGTGTTTAAAAATTGTCCTTTTTACACCAATAACTGCTAAAAGATAGATATTGATATTTCGAGTTCAAGTACCACATTTTCCTATTTATGCTTTTTGATTTTTTCTTTTTGTATCTTTTCCACGTTTTTCTCTTGTATGTTTTATAATATGCATAATTTGAAAAATTTCAAATTATAAGAAACACATTACAGTTGTTGCACTCTAAAAGTATCACTGGTAAAGACAATTCTAAAAAAAATTGTATATTAAAAGCTACTTATTTTATTTTAATTAAATTTCGCTTTTTATTCGGGGGGGGGGGTGTCTCAGAATTTAGTATTGAGCAAGGAAAATGACTGTCATTTGACATACTGGTACTTAAAAATATCAGAAAAGGACACTCTTTCACAAATTATATTACAGTTTGATTAATAGAAACAGGTTATTTGCTTTGATATTCGTGAGTCGGAGCCATGCCTCCTTATGCAGTACAAAAATGTATCACAAATTCTTTTCATCCAATTTTTTTATTTGTAGAATGAAATCTTGACTATGAGGAAGGTCTTCAATTACTACACTTGAAACACGATGGCTACGTTAAACCGAACAGAACGGGAACGGCTGCTGAATTGTGGGATATGTGATCGTAGATTAACAGAACCACGATTGTTGGACTGTTTCCATTCGTTCTGTACAGAATGTCTCGTCATCAAACAAGAACAGGCAGCCATCAAGGACGTTGTCGTCTGCGAGCTTTGTGGAAACCATACAAGTCTATCGAACCAGTCGATTGATACATTGACTCCGAATACATTCATCACAAACATCGGAAAAGTGGACGAGATTCTCCACTCTAATCGTCACTTCTGTTGTTCGTTCTGTGAGGAGCATGGGAAGTCTGAGGAAGCGAGTTCTCTTTGTTTGACCTGCGGTGATTGGTTGTGTCTCACGTGTGCAGAACGTCACTGCGGAACCCGGATTACAAGAAATCATGACGTAATGAGCATCAATGATGTCAGAGAAGACCCCAAATATTCATCTGAGCTACGAAAGCTCCACGAAACAAAATGTACCGAACACAGTGAAAAAATTATAGAATTCTGTATACAGTGTAGCACTCCAGTTTGCTTTGAATGTTTTCAAATAACTCACAAGCAACATAAATGTATGCCGCTCAGAGATGCTGCATCGAAGGTGCAAGAAAATCTCTCAAATATTTTACA